TGACTCTACCTATAGTGCCTTACGAAAGTATTCGAAAAGTATACGAAAGTATAAAAAGTGCATCTATGGATTCTCCTTCCTTACCCTGCCACTGTGTAAAGTAAATTCTGCTTTTATTCATGTGAGAATCATCCAAAGAAAACACACTCATTTACAGGTAACTGCCAAGAGGAGATACTGCATGCCGATATTAACACAATCTTGTAGCACCGTGTCCTTAAAAACCTTTTTTTTTAACCATTGCATCAAGTGGTGGAAAGTCAGCAGCTCACATAATATGCATCATTACCTGAAGTAACTAATTGCAAAAAATGCATTCCCTTTGTGCAGTTATAACCTGGCTAGATGTAACTAAAATGTGTACATAACTGTTAAAGGAGAATTATGGGGAGAGTAAAATACACTCATCCCTATAATGAGAGCTGATGTGTGACACTGAAGCTGTCACACGTCGGCTCTATAGATCAGGAAATGAGCAATCACAAACCGCTGATCGCTCATTTCCCTATCCTCTCCCAGTCTCCGCTCCACGCAGGGATTTCCCCATCCCCTCTCTGTTCCTCCAGCGCTGACAGAATGGATGGCCGGGGATGGGCACCTGGAGGCAGAGCAAGCTGTCAATCAGCCAGCGAGGTGGATCCGGCTGCAACGCGGCTCTGCTATAGCCCCCTATATGCTGAGTTTTATACTATGTCCTCCTGTGATCCTTAAGAGAACTATGGCTAGAAAATGTTGGTTCTCTTTTAAAAGCACATCCAAAATTTGCAGTTTTTGGTAAATGTTCAGGAGTTAAATTTTTTATTTTTTGGATGGGCCGGTATAGCTGAGACATTTGCGCATGACCCCTGAGTCTGCACACCCGTAAATGGATACCAACTATGACAAGCCTCAAAATTTCCTTCACTTACCAAATCTCACCTATTATGGTTGCCACCAGAACAGGGGACCACATTTGAAAGCTCACCATCACATAAAAGTAGAGGCTAGAGAGAGCAATAAAAACCTAACCACGGTTTTAACCCTTTCCCTATTCTTGATAAAAGTAGAAATAATGTTTTTGGCTGGAATTTAACTGTTTTCCATTTTTTTTTATTTCCTGTCAAACAGAAAAGCTGTAAAAAGCATCAACAGCCTACAGCGAGGAAAATAATTATTTGATCCCCTGCAAGATTTTGTAAGTTGCCCACTTACAAAGAAATGAAAGGTCCATAATTGTTATCATAGGTGTATTTTAAATGATGGAGACAGAATATCAACCAGAAATCCAGAAAAACCACATGATACAAATGTTCTAAATTGAGTTGCAGTTCAGTGAGCAAAATAAGTATTTAATCCCCTACCAATCAACAATAATTCTGGCACCCACAGACTGGCTAAGTGATACACAGTTTAGTCCTGTCAATTTTAGAAGGTGCTCCTAATGACAACTCGTTATGTATATAAAAGACACCTGTCCACAGAATCTCTTTCTTCCATTCAAACCTCACCACCATGGGAAAGTGTTATCAAAGGACGTTAGGGACAAGATTGTAGACCTGCACAAGGCTGGAATGGGCTAAAAGACTATCCGCAAGAAGCTTGATGAAAAAGAAAACAACTGTTTCGAGCGTTTATTTGCAAATGGAAGGAATACAAAATAACCATCAATCGCCCTCAGTCTTGAGCTCCATGCAAGATTTCACCTCATGGGGTAAGGACGGTCATGAGAAAAGTGAGGGATCAGCCCAGAACTAAATGGGAGGAGCTTGTGAATGATCTCAAGGCAGTTGGGACCATAGTCACCAAACAAACTGTTTCTTTGCTAAAGGTACATGCCGACTTTGCCGCATTGAGGGGCCAATGGACGGGGCCATGTATTGTAAAATCTTGGATGAGAACCTCCTTCCCTCAGCCAGAACACTGAAGATGGGTCGTGGATGGGTCTTTCAGCATGACAATGACCCAAAACATACCGCCAAGGCAACAAAGCAGTGGCTCAAGAAGAAGCACATCAAGGTAATGGAGTGGCCTAGCCAGTCTCCAGACCTTAATCCTATAGAAAAGTTACGGAGGGAGCTTAAACTTCGAGTTGCCAAGCGACAGCCAAACAACCGTAAGGATTTAGAGAAGATCTGTAAAGAAGAGTGGACCAAAATCCCTCCTGAGATGTGTGCAAGCTTGGTAAGCAACTACAAGAAAAGTCTTACCTCTGTGCTTGCCAACAAGGGTTTCTCCACCAAAGTACTAAGTCCTGTTTTGCTTGGGGATCAAATACTTATTTTACTCACTGAACTGCAACTCAATTTATAACATTTGTATCATGTGTTTTTGGTTGATATTCTGTCTTTATCACCTATATGTATACATCTATGATAAAAATTATAGACCTTTCATTTCTTTGTAAGTGGGCAAACTTACAAAATCTGCAGGGGATCAAATAATTATTTGCCACACTGTATGTTTTCCAAGCTCAATCAGAAGTGCATTGAGGACCAGACAGTGGAATTCTGTGACAAGAATCTGCAGATTCCTGTGGCTGCGATCACAGGTATATGAGAACAGCTGTGGCTTGGAAGCCTGTACAAAATAATGAGCAAGCAATGGATGCAATTTATCAGCCTCCAGGGACATCTGTTCCTAACCACAGATAACTACTAGATGTGCAGATGCATTCGAACAGCTGCAGACAGCCGCTGCTCCTGTCAGCCTTTCATTGCTCTGTACAGGCTTACTGACCACAGATGTTCATATACACCTGCAATCCCAGCCATAGAAATCTGCAGATTCTTACAAAAGGAATCTGCTGTCCAGATCTAATCGCATATGTAAATGAGCCCTAAAAATGTTCCTTTCATTCTGCTTTATCCTCACTTACCTTCAGATGCTTGAGCCTTTATGGCTTTTTTTTATATGGCATAATTTAATAAAAGTAAGTTAAAAGGGGAGAACCCGAAAAAAAAATATTTGCACATAGGACATTTTTTTTTAAATGTCAGGGAAAGGGAGAAAATAAAAATGATTTGTCAAAGTAAATGATATTACCAAAGAGGGTTCATTAAACATCAGCCATGATATAACCAACAATTAGATTGCTGAGACAAACTAAATAAATACATATTAGCCTAGGTTTATATTAGGGATGTTCAGATACCCGTGCCGATACTTGTACTACCAGGGTTGCAGATGGGACCTAGCTCTGGCGCTCCACCACTATCCTAAAATCATTAGTCTGTATTGTTTTAGAAAAACTGTCACATGACTATAAACAAAAATGTATCAGTACTTGTACTTGCAAGTACTTGGACAAGTATCAGTACTTGTAAAAACAGTATCAGTGCATCTATATATTTATTTAAAAAAAATTATACATTAAAACAGGAATGCACAAATCCCAGGAGCTCCGTATGCTCCTTAAAAATGACAGCTACCTCCTAACCTTTGAATTTTTCTCTAGTCTAGTCTTGGAGCTGGAAAAGTATATGTACATGTACTTCTACCGAGTAAGGTACATGGTATCTGAACATCCCTAGTTTATATTGATATTATCGATTATTAAAGTGATTGTATAGTCTTTTGAATTTATTCTAAATATTCAGCAATTATTCATTTTGAAACAAGACTGGGAAGTAAATTAGTATTCATCCAAGTTGCTTTTCATAAGATAATTTAAGAGGGTGGGTTTAGGGGCAAAGTTAAGGCCGAGGCAGGGTTGGGGTTAGGTGGGGCAACTGGTGGCGAGTAACTCTTAAGGCCTGGCTAGTAGCTCAGGACTTGAAATTTTGAGCCCTGCTGTATAGTATCCTTTGGCTTGGTAACATACAGTTTTTGCTTAATTAAACACAATGTTAAGAACAGAACTTGACCGGCAAAACTGTCAAACATTGTCTGTACTTATTGACAAAATACAGTAAACTCTCCGTTATCCGGCATTGAACTATCCATAAGTCTCATCTAACCAGAGAAAAAAATCCCCTGTGTACTCCCTGTTCTGCTGATCTGCGGCATGTATTATCCTGGAAATGATCGTGTGCCTATTTGTCTTAATTTGTTTTAAGTGTGGAAAGGCGATCAAGCACGGGAGTATGCCGCAACTTTTAAAGCGGCACTGGGGAGGACTGCTGTGGAGGTGGAACACACAAGTCACGCATTCTCCAACCAATCGGCTGTGGCCGCCTCTCGTGTCCCTTTTGATTGGGCGCTGCATACTGCTCTCCTGACATGACTCCCGTGCTTGAACGCCTTTCCATTTCTGTGAAAGAAGGGTGAATATAACCAACTATTTGTGATTCATCACTCTACATTGATATGCACCTGACTGGATCGTCTCATGATATACAGTTCCTGTCCCCTTGAAGAAGCCCAATAGGGCGAAACATGTTGGGGCTATACTGAATGAATTAACAGGGGCTATCTTGAATGAGCTAAAAAATCATGTTGTACAAATAATCATGTGATGTCAATACTATATATGGAATAACTATACTATGAAATGATCATGTTTTATAAAATGGAATTTTAATTATTTAAAAATCATGTTACATTAATAAATCAATTTTGGATTTTTGTACTTTATTAAGAGAGTTACAATGCTAGTTTACTATTGGCTATTGCAAATTGAAATAGCCAGGCTGAAATCAACCGTACCAGCCTGAAGTAAATAGCCGAACAGTGTTCGGCTCACTTCACTTCAGGTCGGTCATTCACTCGGCTGCCTATGGCAGCTTCGTGAATAGACCCCTTAGTATTTTTTGAAAGCCCCTCCCCCTAGGGTCTTGGCATACCCCTCGTGGAATTTATTTATTTCAATAGCTATCATTTACTATTGGGGTGTGAAATTGCGCTCTCTTATATGCACTTAATTCAAAGTACAGTTGTTTCTAATCAGTTAGGATATAGATTTACCCTTTTGATAGCAACTTCTATAGGTGACACAAGGCGTTGATGGGTGATTGACGCAGGTTCACATAGCGCGGGAGTTTTGAGTTGGATAACTGTACTGATTGTGTTGTATTCATTTGCAGGGCTTTTTAACTGCTCCAAGTTCACCGTCTGTAAATTCACGTTCTATTGCCCTGGGCGCATCATTGTCACTGGGCAATATTTCTGGCATTGGTTCCGGAACAGAAGTGAAGAAACGTAGAGCACCTCCACCTCCAAAGCCAGCCCCTCCAAAACATGCTGCTGTAAAAACTCCAAAAGACAAGATACCAGAGCCGGTAAGTTATTGCTTAACATTTATGTTGTATTTATTTTAAATACCCACCCATACAAAATAGTAATCATATAGAATCAAGTTGTCCAATGCAAGCCTTTAGGCAATAAGGGCCATTTTGCCATGCATCACGCCCTATGCAGAGTGTGCATTTTTCTGTAGTCTCTTTCTAAATATGAGTTTCCTCCCTAAACGTGAAGTCATTTAATTTATATGCAGTTCAATTTCAATTTTTAGGGACTGGCTAAAGTTGCTGATTTATTAATACTCTACTCTAATTTGTGCTAAGTATGTCACAGCAGAATTGTGTTTATCCTTCTAAAATGCTAAGTATTTAGCTTTGTCGTATTTCACAATGCAGAGCCTTGAACTTCATTCTGCCTGGAGCTTTTTTGTGTGTTTTTTTTTTTAATCCCATGTTCACGTGATTTATCCTTAAGCCCTTCAGGTGCAACTGCGACTGGTAGACTTTACTGGCTTCTAACTAAACCGGTTCTATATTCTGTGTGTGCTACTGTTTGGCAGGCAAATTAAATGTCTTTCTCCTTCAGCCAAGGCAGATTAATCTGAAAAAATATCTGATTGTACAGGACTGCAGAATATGTAGAAGTTTTACACATAAATAAGATTAATGCTTTGCTTCTCATTTTTTATACATTGCAAAATTAATTAGGATTAACTTCAATCAGTGGTATTATAGTATTTTCCCACCTGTTTTTTTACTGCAGCTGCCACCTCAGAATGTCTATTGGTTCAATTTCAGCCATCAACAGAAATATACAGGTGAAACTCGAATATTTAGAATATCGTGCAAAGTTCATTTATTTCACTAATGCAACTTAAAAGGTGAAACTAATATATGAGATAGACTCATTACATGCGAAGCAAGATAATTCAAGCCGTGATTTGTCATAATTGTGATGATTATGGCTTACAGCTCATGAAAACCCCAAGAACCCCAAATCCACAACCTCAAAAAAGTAGATTATTACATGCAATCAATAAAACAAGGATTGTACATAGAACAATATCGGACCTCTGAAAAGTACAAGCATGCATATCTACTCAGTACATGGTTTGGGCCCCTTTTGCAGCACTTACTGCAATTACTTTTGCACGATATTCTAATTATTCGAGTTTCACCTGTACATATTGAGGCTAAACCAAAAGGAGGAGCTAACTGAGGTGCTGGTTCATCACTAGATAAGCAATAGAAACTGGACAAAGTTTTTTCTGACATGTCCAGTAGTTTTCTTCCTAGAACATTTAGGATTGTCTAAAGCTGCTCACAAACAGGAGAAAAGAATTGGACCAGGGGTTGGACCAGGGGACTGCCAACTCAGGTCTACGAAATTTGTGTAGTTTCCTATATTCTTACATTTAAAATTAATGTGTTTAACTGTTCCAGGTTTCAATCATCTTTCTGAATTTTATGCTGCACCCAATATTCTCAGATAGAATGGCTGAACTGTGATTTTCTACACACTTGTTGTCGTTGTTTGACAACCCCACATTTTTAGCGTTCAATCAGTTTTTATTAGCATTTTTAACAGAATTCAAACAATCCGTTATCAAAACTCAACATGTAAAAATCATGACAGCTGGAGACAAGAGGATGAGAGTAAACCATCACTGGGCTGGTATTGACATCTGAAGATATTTATACATGGTGCCATAGGTCAGACAAAATAGCGCACATATCTAAGGCACTTAAAGGTTGTAAGAGGGCCATGGCACAAGGGGCAAACACCCATTCTGTCAAAACATATCAATGTATAACTGTTAGAGCAGCCAGGTACGGGTTATCCAAGCGCTATCAGTATCAGTACCGTATCACGAGCCGAGGGTGTACACAGTGAGCACAGTCCTCCCGTAGCCCCCTAGGTTAATACGTTCATAGGAAGGGCTGTAGGTCAGCGGAGGCAGAGAAGTGTATCCATATACTCTATTGGGACATGAACTTAGGGAAGGTATCAGCGTCAATCGTCAATAGCTCCTCCATGGGCATTATGTCGTTGACCTGGCTAACCCACATGGAGAGGGGTGGAGTAGCTGCTTTTTTCCAATACAGGGGAATAACTTGGCGGAACCCCACATTTTTAAAGATGCCCATAGATGTTAAATGACACTTTCAGTTTGGCGATTTCTCAAAGGTCCCAGTGACAATTCAATGCCCATAGTATTCCCACAGACTTTGCCAACTGAGGCTCATTGAGGTAATACAATCTCAGATTAGGAAACCTTCCCCAATTGTTTTTTGTTTCCTAATGATAAGCTGGCTTCTAAAGTATTGTATATGTAACACAGATTCCCCACCTTTCTTTATAAGCTAAGCTTATAAAGCTAAGCACGAACTAAGTTAAGTTAGTTAATAATCCCCCTATGTGATAGCAACGAGGATGTGACAGGTCCTCTTTATGGATACAGGGGTCTTGAAGACCCCTAATCTCACCTAGGGACCCCCAAAGAAGCGGATGAAGCAGAGATCTGCTTCATCAGCTTCTCTCCAGCTCCTGTAGCCGGAGAGTGACAGCAGAATGCGGAAGTGATCACTTCCTGCATTCTGACACTGGAGAGGAGATCGGAGGGAGATCATGTACCAATCACCCTCTAATCCCCTGTCACAGAGCTGCCATGCCAGTCCCACCCCGGGCACAGCGGAGTTTGGAACCAGCACTGCGGAAGGGGGGGCAGAGGGAGGGGTGAACCTACCGGCACCCCATACAAGGAATCCAGCGGCTCTATAGCTTGTATGTAAACAGGCATTTTTTAATTACAACAGCCGGCTGTGAAGCGGTTAAAAAAGCTTATAAACACCTTGACTTTAAAGTACATTTTCATGTTAACCACAAATTAAGCATATACAACATGGGTGCATTTCCACTTTTGCATTAGTATAAAGCAAAGTGTTATTATTTCACAGTTTAGGAAACGCACAGTAACACATTATAGCAGACAAAGCCATACTTTGAATTCCAGAACTTCCAGGTCAAATAACATTTTGTCCCTTTAGAGAACTGAGGAATGTAAATGTTTGCATAAATAGTTAAGCTGGTTCATTTCTTTTTCATATTTTAAGTCATACAACCTAAATACCTTTTATAATGTAAATTTACATTATTATAATATCCTGTATATGTAAGCAGAAAAACACCTTTATAATTAATTAATTGCTATTCAAGATAAGTTAAGATAACCTTAACGTAGCAAGTATTTTATCCCACTCTTCAATGCTGATGGTTTCTGAACAGTGCAAAAGTTTCAGATCATTTTGCTTTTAAGTGTAGATATTTTAGCACATGTTCTCCTGTGGCAATAATTTGGTGCACCACTGACATATTTTTTGTTGGTTTATCATAGAACTGTTCTGGTACATGAATTATTTATCACTGTATTATCATTGCTAGTATTGCTGTGATAATATAGGTATTACTTATACTGTTATAGTATTTTTTCAAGGGTTATGATTAAGCTCAATATTTATGCTTATGGGTTAGTTTGACTTTAACATTTAACTTTAACAGTAGGGTTAAGAGTTTTTGAAGATTAGGGTTCTGTTTAAGTGTTAAGTTAGGGGTTGGGTTGTACTCTGGTGTGCTAAACTGCATGGCAGACCTGACAGAGTTTGCAACCTTAGAAACACATTTTCTCTTCTCCATATGCTTTTGGCTAGTCTTTGTTTGCTCCGTTATCTGTACTGGCAAATATGGAAATTTCAAGATCTTTTATTTAGAGATTTTGATCAAACATTATAAAAACTTATGCATAGACCCTAAATTAAATGAGTGCACTTTGAAATTACCTAAAACAAATGTTTTCACTCTTGCAATACATTTTTGTTGATTTTTTACAGTTTTATAATTTACATTGTTGTATACAATCAGCAGGAAGTGTTTAAGCATTTTTTTCAGTCCACTTATAGTTATTCAGATATATATGTGTTAAGGATATAATTGGGTACATTTAATTGTACCTTTCCTTTTTTTTCTGTACAAAGATACACATCATTACAATATAAAGAAATGGAACACTAATGAAAATAAATTACAAGGTAGTTAATAACAAAAGGTAATTATAACTTGAGTCACTCACTTTAATGGGTGAAATTGGAAAGATCGGCCCTGTGCAGATATGGATTGTGTTATGGATAACAGGTACAATATAGAGGTTAGAAGGGATTAATGTAATGTCTTGTCTTGTTTTAATGTTGATTGTTTGTCAACTATGCAAAATGTGAGAAATTTGGATTGTTGTCTGAAAATTAATAAATATTGATATAACAATAAATAAAATAAATAAATGTTCCCTAAAGTGGGAAATAATCATGTTGCATAAACAGCAGCCAAGAAATAAGGTAGTAACAAAGCTTGAGGAGCAATCACGTATCCTTGGCCCTTGAGGTGTAATCGTATAATAACCACATTCACTAGTGCAGAAACATATATACAAATATGTGTGTGAGCATATAGATGCCTACATCACCCCCTGTCCAAAACTTATAAGAGTAGTTTCCTAAGATACAGGTGGATGTTATATGAAAGGTCTAGGAAGGCGAGTTGGAAGAAGGCATAATGTGGGTGATTTTTTTCAACATAGATAAAGGAAAGAAAAGAAAGAAAAAAAATTAGGAGTGCGGGGGATCATTTATGCATGATATCGGAGGGGAAGGGAGAAGGAAAGTTTAGGGAAGGAGGGTAGAAACAAATTAAATCAATGCAAATCAGTAAATCATTCGCAACAAACATATTTTATTGTGCTAAATTGAAAATTGATGGCTTCTTGAGAAATGTTTTCCAGTCCTGTATCACTTGGAAATTCATTTTTGAATAATTTTCCATGTTCAATTGAGAATAACTGAGATGATCCTGTAGGCAAGGATGGACATTATCTTACGGAAAAATACTATTTGCCGTTTCACATACAGTATGTTTAGGGATAGGGTGACAACAGGGTTTATCACTCTGTTGATATACTGTCTTGTCATATTGTCTTCAGCTAAATTTT